GTGTCCCCATGTGTTTGATCAGTAAGGTTGAGTCCTGCCTTTTATTTAGAAGTAGTTTCTTTAAAGGTTTTGTTTGAGTGAAGTTTTTTTTAAAGAAAAACAAATCCTCTGCAGTCCTGCCTTTGGATATTTGAAGATCTATTGCACTTAAAAATACAGGAAGCACCGATTCAGATTACACAGAGAAATTCTGTGTAACACAATTATAAAACAGTACCATAAAAGGCCTATCAGCTAAAAGCCTGATCGCTCTGTTTGTTCATGCCCATTATTCTCAGACTCCAGGTGATTTATCTCCCTCCAACTAGCTGCTAGTTTCCGTCCATTTTCACCACTGGATAAAAATTTGACTGTCATCATACATTAGAGCCATCCATCATAGTTAACTTACAGAGGCTCCGGCTCTGTTGTTAAACTGTGCGCTTTGCTGCAGGTAGGAGTGACAGAAATTGTCCTTTTCAAGAGCGAGATAATGTGTAACAAAGCTAAAAGTAATCTAATGCAGCACTGTGGTGTGTTGTCAAACAAGAAAGTCAAAGAGTAGGAGTGATAAAAGTATATAATTTGTACTTTGACATCTGAGACTGGAGGAGGAATGTAAATGAAGTGGAGTGAGGGCTAAAACAACACAAATTGCTTGACATAATTATAACTGTTGGGGTTTTTGCTACATAGCCTGCTGTTGATCTTCGTGGCGTTCCCTCCATTTTCCCATTTTACATATGCATCATTTAAAAATCTCACTCTGAGCAGACCTGTCAGGTAGATCACGTTTCCAATGTGAGACGTTGTCAACGTAAAAAAGGTTTTCAAGATTTTCAAGAGGTCTGAGGAGAAGGAGGGAGGAAAAGTTCTCAAGGATTAAAGTGCAGTGAAGAATCTGGAACATTCTGGCAGAAGTTCTTCTCCACTGTTTCCCCTGTGTCTGAAGCCCAGTGTTAATCTTTTGTTGATAAATCTTTGTTCACACAGTGAGCTGGCAGTGTGTCTCCTGCTAAAGCTGAAGGTTGGCAACCCTTTCTTTTTTTTGTATCCACAGCTCATTTGCGGTCGTACCAGCTTTGTCTGAGAGATGTCCTGAATACCAGTCTGGACACAAGGCTGACCAAAGCCATTGGTTTTTTCATTAATTCCTGCTTTTCACACATTTACACCAGTAAAATATATTTTTTATTCTTTATTTTGTCCATATTTACTTTATATATATTCTACTATATATTTATATGTGTTGTGTGTATAGCTATACTGTATATATGTGAATATATTGTTGGGAGCAGCAGAGAAACTCACTTACCAAAAGCAAGTGCTCCTTTATTACCAAACTGATGCCTTGACTTTTCTGTAGACAATATACTGTCCTACATACACACACATGATCTCACCAGGGTAAAGGCGGCATGCGTGTGTTTTTTCTGTCAGGGATTGTAAAATCTTATATAGGTGCCAGCTTTACTCACATGAAATTCAGTTAGTGTGTCCCCATGTGTTTGATCAGTAAGGTTGAGTCCTGCCTTTTATTTAGAAGTAGTTTCTTTAAAGGTTTTGTTTGAGTGAAGTTTTTTTTAAAGAAAAACAAATCCTCTGCAGTCCTGCCTTTGGATATTTGAAGATCTATTGCACTTAAAAATACAGGAAGCACCGATTCAGATTACACAGAGAAATTCTGTGTAACACAATTATAAAACAGTACCATAAAAGGCCTATCAGCTAAAAGCCTGATCGCTCTGTTTGTTCATGCCCATTATTCTCAGACTCCAGGTGATTTATCTCCCTCCAACTAGCTGCTAGTTTCCGTCCATTTTCACCACTGGATAAAAATTTGACTGTCATCATACATTAGAGCCATCCATCATAGTTAACTTACAGAGGCTCCGGCTCTGTTGTTAAACTGTGCGCTTTGCTGCAGGTAGGAGTGACAGAAATTGTCCTTTTCAAGAGCGAGATAATGTGTAACAAAGCTAAAAGTAATCTAATGCAGCACTGTGGTGTGTTGTCAAACAAGAAAGTCAAAGAGTAGGAGTGATAAAAGTATATAATTTGTACTTTGACATCTGAGACTGGAGGAGGAATGTAAATGAAGTGGAGTGAGGGCTAAAACAACACAAATTGCTTGACATAATTATAACTGTTGGGGTTTTTGCTACATAGCCTGCTGTTGATCTTCGTGGCGTTCCCTCCATTTTCCCATTTTACATATGCATCATTTAAAAATCTCACTCTGAGCAGACCTGTCAGGTAGATCACGTTTCCAATGTGAGACGTTGTCAACGTAAAAAAGGTTTTCAAGATTTTCAAGAGGTCTGAGGAGAAGGAGGGAGGAAAAGTTCTCAAGGATTAAAGTGCAGTGAAGAATCTGGAACATTCTGGCAGAAGTTCTTCTCCACTGTTTCCCCTGTGTCTGAAGCCCAGTGTTAATCTTTTGTTGATAAATCTTTGTTCACACAGTGAGCTGGCAGTGTGTCTCCTGCTAAAGCTGAAGGTTGGCAACCCTTTCTTTTTTTTGTATCCACAGCTCATTTGCGGTCGTACCAGCTTTGTCTGAGAGATGTCGTGAATACCAGTCTGGACACAAGGCTGACCAAAGCCATTGGTTTTTTTCATTAATTCCTGCTTTTCACACATTTACACCAGTAAAATATATTTTTTATTCTTTATTTTGTCCAATGTTGGATAAGTTCTAAACTATTTTTAAGTGAGGAGACAGGAAAGTGAACCCCTTGTTGTTCCTGTCATATAAATAGAGATATCAATAATTATAAAGCCAATATATGATTCACATCTGTGTGTGAGAGTTTGTTTGAGATCATCGCCTTTCATTTTCTTCTTTCCTTCTCTGTCCCCTGTTTTTCTTCCAGTGCCTGTACTGTACAACATGTTGGATTGCACCAGTCTAACTCACTTTATTTGATCTCTCATACACACACACACACACACACACACACACGTGCGCACAGTTTGTTGTTTACAGGGTGTTCTGTGCCTTTGAGCAGTTTATGATGCTGGGCAAAAAAAGAGAGAGAGAGAGTAAAGAACTTCTATTTTTTCGTCCTACTTTCTTTACAGTGGGTTGACTGGATGTCTCACTGTGTCCCTCTTAGCTGTGGCCCGGCTCGGCTCGTCAGGAGGGGGAGATTAATTCTCTGTGGCTGCGTGCAGGTCGATAGATCCAGTTGCTAACTGTGTGAGAAGGAGGGTACCACAGTGTTTGTTGTGGTGATGGGATGGCAGCTCCTGCGAGGGAGAATTAACAATACCCACAGTGTATTAGAGCAATGTCAGACCCAAGCCTGAATAAATGAAGTGAGCCTTGCCCCGTGCGTCTCTGTGTTGTGGGATTAGCATAATTAAGTGTTGGTGTTCAGAGGTGTGCACTGACATTTAGGTGTGTTTGCATGTCTGCATGTAAATGCAGTACGATTATGAAGTATTGCTATTCCTCCTGGGCAGAAGTGCAGTCTCCTGTGTTACGGAGGGATTGATAAAGGGTGCGGGTCACAGTGGCAGACGATGCTGTTCGTGCTGCAGACTACTCAGAATCGATAAAGAGCCGGACCCTCGAAGGGCCTGTCAGCTTTAAGGCCAGCTTGATGCTGCGTTGAGTTGGCCCGCACGCCGCCAAGGTCGGACCATAGTTATGAACAGGTCGAGGATTTGTGTCAGGTAAACACACTGTCTTCACCCTGAGAATACAAAGCAGCAGTGCCATGATGACTGTCAGTGAAAAGAGCAGGCTGACAAAGCAGCAACAAGGCCAGACCGGAGGGCAGGGAGACAGAACCAGACAAAAAGATGAAAATGGTAATGGGAGAAATTACAGAGCCCGTCAGAAAGCAAAATGAATGAAAGAGAGAGAGTCAAAGTTTTCTCCTTTCTCAGCTTTTTAAATATATTTCAATGACAGCATTTAAGAAGATATGGATGGATAGAAACCATATGCAATATTTATCATGTCCTAATATATATCCATGTCCATATACTACTAAGGGGTCATGTACAATTTATTCTTTTTTTATATTGTGTGAATGTGTATTACATAACATTTCTTGTAAGGTATTTTTATTCACATTTTCTTTTTTTCAACTTATTTTTAACATGGTGAAATCTCAGTTACAGCTAATTTCATAATAATCTTACAATGACTAGAAAAGAAATCCTAATCTGAATCAGCGAAGAAGGTCGTTGTACTATGGCTGGCCTAAGCTGTCCATGTGCCATACAGATTTTTTTTTTCTTCTAAGGCAGTGCATAAAATATCCCCAGTGTGCATAATGACATAGAGCCCAACCAGAACAGACCCAGAAGACTTGAACTGCTTCTTTAAAAGGGTGATAGTAGCCGGGCCAGCTAAAGCAGTGAACCATCAGAGAAGACCGCCGCGTACAATGATTGTGATTCCTCTGGAATTTGATTAGAATTCTCTGCAAAACAATTTCAATTTGAAAAAAACTGGAGGCTTCATTCCATGTTCTCTCTTCTCTCCATCTCTCTCCACACTGCTGATTAATTCATGCAGTAATTAGAGATTAATATAAATCAGGGCTTCATATTTCATCAGGAATGCTCTGTTCCTCTCTTTCCTGACACGACTCCAGAGGTTTGTCATCCAGTTAGTTGTTTGTCGAGGGAAAGTGTTTACACGTTAACCAAGCGAGCTTCGTTTACACCTCTGTGTGTCTGTCCTTGTCTTGCTCGAAATTGTTAAAAAAAAAAAACTAGAACAAGAGATTTGAAAAAGAAATAAAAATCCAGTCGCTCAAATGGAGCTGAAGCTTTTAGAGCTCCGGCGGTGAAGGCAGTCACCTCCATCAAGAGCTGTTATTAACTCTCTGCCCTCGTCTTTCTCTACAAGACAAATGCACACAGCCATGTCAACAACGGCGTACCGTCCACGTCCTCTGTGACAACAACAGACACAATTTAAACGAGTCACTGCAGTGAGATAATGCCAAAGCTCACGGTTATGTTAAGGAGGTTTAATCAATTTTCTTGTCCTTTATTAGGTGAGGTGCTGCGTCTCGGGAGGATGTCTGGCCACACGGTCAACGGTGGTTGGTCCACCTGGAGTTCCTGGTCTCAGTGCAGCAGAGACTGCAGCCGAGGGATACGCAGTCGGAAGAGGACCTGCAGCAGCCCAGAGCCGAAGTACGGGGGGCAGACCTGTGTGGGACCTGCGCAGGAGTACCAGGAGTGTAACATCACCCCATGTCCAGGTATGACGTTCAGGACACAGCCTTGTCTTCTCTCTCACACTGATACACACTCTACTCATCCTTTCTCTGGTCAGTAAAATAAAGAAAAACCTTCAGCCATGAAATATGAATATCACGAAAGAAATCAGTCGCAGATAAAAAGTGACAAAAAAAATCAATTTACACCATAAATCCAAGGAAGAATCCCAGTGGTGTTTCACCATGTAATTACATCGATGGGTAATTACGCTGCCAGCATTGGGAGGCCTTGCTCTGTTGTGAAACGCCTTGAGACAATGCATTTTCAACAGTCGACTTCCATCTCTCTCTCTCTCAAAATGGAAGTACAGTGCTGGGTTGGATATCAAGCCCACCTGATATCCAGCAGGTGTGCTAAGCAAACAAGCAGGATGCTTTTCTTTTTTTTTTATCTATGATTAGTAATCAAACCCCTGGGAGAAACTCTGAAGCATCTTTCTTAAAACCTCAGATCCTCCTGTTTTACCTCTGCACCCCACGATCCGTCGTCACACACCCCACCAGGCACCACAGACAGACTGAAAGCCGATCAAAACTATATTTGTGCAGCAAGCCCGCCTGTCGTTCCTGCTCACCAGCAGCTCGAGCTCAGCCGCTAATAGTGTAAGCTGTTATTAGCTGTTCGCTGGAATGCAGACTTTGGATCTGAGAACATCAGATTTGTTTTATCCAGCAGGGCTCTACCCCTGTCTCCGCTCCTCAAATGTTCTTTGATTTTTCTGCTGCGCATCACTATGCTAATACATGTAATGCAACCATTCTGGGATGTTGACTGTAATAAAACAATAGCAGGAGTATGTTGATGAACAACTCTGCACTCCTGTCCCCCAAAGGAGCTGACTTAACCCAGCAGGCTGAGTAGCAGTGAATACTAATACATACTCAATTAGGATCCTGCTGAAGGTGAGATATTATTTCCAGGCGTATAGACCAAGCTGCCAGTCCAATCGTAATCTTCCTACTGCAAATCCAGTGTTGTTAAGTATATTATCGTGCCATGAAGGAGTAAGAAAAAAGGAGGGAGGTGTTAACTCTGCCATCCACTGGATTTTGAAACAAATGAATTTGTATGTTTTTCTTGCATCTGTGCTTGAGATGAGTCGATTCATCATAGCAGGCCCAGTATTGACTTATACGTCGGTGTGTGATAGAGAAATCACACTGAGATGACAAAAAGCATCAGCAACTTCAATTACCTGCACAGTGCTGCCAGCTATCCTCAGGTCTTTAAAAGCAATTCTCAAGTGGTTTTGAAAAAGGAAATTTCTCTGTGCCAAAATGAAGACAGGTTTTATCCAGATGATTGGTGAAGGATATTTACCTCTGTTGAGATTCACGGACAAACATCGCCCCGGTTTTATTGCTCCCCTCTTTCTTATCTGTCCCCTCCTTTCCTCTCTCTCTCTCTCTCTCTCCTTGTATTTATATGTTTTCTTGGTATTCTGATTCTGTCATGATTTTCCTGCTGTTTTAACCGTCACTTGCTTCCCATTTGGTACATAATGAGGGGAGGAATAATGATAACAAATTGCGCTGCTTCATTGATCTTTATTAACGCACACACACACTAACACACCCATGCATACATATTCAAATTAGCTCATATTTATCTGTCATGCACCACCATTTGAAAAAGGCTGAGACGACTTCCAATCACTCAGCGCTGAGAAAAAATTGTCTTTGGAAATGACCTGGAACCTGGAGAACACACAAAGTGCAGTGTGGAAAAGATTTTATGACAAACAAACAACTGCTTCAATGTCCTGTCAAACTTGGAAACCAGCATTACCAGGGACGTTGGTATGCATTTAAAAAATGCAATAAAAATGGAAATGTGTTATTTAGCAGTTCATTTAAACCTTTATTTATCAGGAATTAGGACAAAGAAAACTCTGTTCCATTGGATTTGTTCTGTAAATTCTATTTGTTGAACAAATTGTAAAAAAAAAAAAAATCATAGTCACTTCCCCTTTTCTTTAAATAATTTGGCTCGACGTCACTAAATGTCTCTTGTTTTGACCGTTTACAACCTGAGTGTTTCAGTGTTTATGTTGAACAAAATAGATTTCTTAAGAGCAAAACTATTAAAAATATGATGTCCTTTTGTCTGATATATAAAGGTTTAAGTGGATCATGAAGCCACAGTTTTACTATTTTATTGCATTTTTAGGACGTGTACACATGTTCTGTGTACATTGCGCCATCTTACGCTATGAGCACGAGTAGTAAAAAGCAAAATATAAGCAATTTAACAACTGATATTCTGGGTTTAGTTGATGGCAGCTGGTCTTGCTGGTCTTCATGGTCCAAATGCTCTGTGACATGTGGAGGCGGACACTACATGAGGACCCGAACCTGCAGCAACCCCCCTCCCGCCTATGGAGGGGACATATGCCTGGGCTTGCACACTGAAGAAGCTCTGTGCAACACACAGCCCTGTCCAGGTAAACACTGCATGTGATAAATCCATCCTAGGCTCCATTCTAATTCTCTGGGCCCCTTCAGAGGTCACTCATGCATGACTTATTTGCAGTTAAGGTCAGCCATAAGCTAATAGAGCTCACACACACACAGATGTGTGTACAGGCTGGACAGACTGTGAAATCTGCTGTCACTGCCATTTCCAGAGAGCTGGTCCAGCTGGTCCGAGTGGTCCCACTGCGACTCCAACGGAGCCCAGCTACGTGTGCGTCATTGTGATGTCCTGTTCCCCACTGGAAACCAGTGTTCAGGAAACAACAGTGAGACCAGGCCCTGCTCTCCCGACTCCAACTTCATACCTGGTAATCACACGCACACGCCCATTTATTGTATTAGCTTGGTACAGTTGCCTAAATGGGCGCACACACACACACACACACACTCCTTTTTAGTAATATCTTGTGCGTTCATGCAGGACTTCACCACCTGCACAGTCTGCACTACCCACCAGCCTACGCCCACGGCAATTCTTCATTTCATTCCAAAAGTATCCTGTGATAATGAAATACACAGTCAAACCCTTGAAGGGAAACATCTCAGGTCAGAGGTCAGGTTCAGCGACAGGACAGCACGTCCGGGAATAGATGGTATTCATGTTTTGCTCAAGGGCTCCTGAGTGCAGTAGACGATTATATGGGGGTGTGAGCTGGCGTGCCACACTTAAGGGCAGCCTTCCCGCTCATTCCAATAATCCTGCTGCTATATTAGTTTTCATTATGAGTCTCAGCGTCTTGTCAGGCCATGCAAAAAAGCACTTACCCCTGCAGTTTTACTTTTTTTCAGACGTCGAAGTGTTTTATTTCCATTTCCTCTGTGTAATCACACTTCCTTCTAATGAGATTTACAGCATTAAACACACTGTGTGGGAACCTTTTATTTTGTTAGGAACCTGTAAATGTCAGCAGGCTTGTCACTCTGATCACTCTGATGTATGTACGTAGTAGGTGGAAGTTAATGCAGAATTAAGTTTTGTGCAAGTTGTAATTTGATTACACTCATATTAAAATGTACAAATTTTACACCTATTCAACATGCTTTAAAATAAAAAAGTATTTCTTAAAATTTTGAAATTTAATATATTTTTCCTGCTGTAGAAATTACTTGAACTTTTACCTTCTAGGTTTTTTTCACAAATAAAGGTGAAAGGTGAAATAAAGTTATTATTTATTAGTCTTGGAGTTTAATCCACTCAGAGGGAAGATAGAAAAATATCAGGCTGTGGTCAGTTTGCGTGCCTTGTCTCTCAGACACCAACACTCGTCTATTTTTCATATTTAAAAATCATTCAACTCTGAGATTATTATAGAGGACACTAATTCATCTTTCTTCAGTCTCAGAAACAAAGCTGTTGCATCTTGAGTGTGGTCACATCTCCTTTACGCACACACAGACACACACACACACACACCATTAGTATTGGTATCTGCCGAGACAGGCATCTCCCTATTGACAACCAGTAATGTGAGACACCCAGGAGCATCGATCAATGTGCCGCACCGATTATTAAAACCTTAGACAAAGGATCATTTGTCATTCACATTTTTACACCGGGAACACTGCAACTGCTACGTAATGTTTGCATGTACACAATATTCACAAATACTGTAGTGTCCTTGGGCCAGGATGGAAAACCTTTCAGGAGTTCATACCCGGTTACCCATTTGCCATTACGCCTTATCATTTACACGCTTTAATGGCAATGATAGTCCATTAAGGTTCATTAACAGCTTCTTTGACTTCATTACCTTTAATAGGAGCTGTTATTTTTCAGAAACTACTGCATGTACCACAGTTGTGATTAGAAGTTTTTTTTACAATGACTTAGTTTGTGTGGAGGCCACCTTTCATCTCCACCTCTAAAAGCCCAACATTTTTCATGACACCAGGATCATGTGTGATTTTGATGGCACTAATTTCGCCACATTTTTCTCTCTTCCTTCTCAGAAGTCTCAATTGCACACTCCAGCCAGGAGGAGAGACGCTGTGGAGGTAATATGTGATTACCTGTATGTGTGTGTGTGTGTGTGTGTGTGTACACCTGCTTGTGTTCTGTACAGTAACTTCATTTACTGTATCATATCAGTGGGTAAAGAACATCACAACATATTTTAAAGTAAATTGAATGAGAAATTGAACACTTTTCAGTCCTTTCGATCCTTCCTATTTACCATTTATATTTAAAATACTGAAAAAAATCTAAGACCTGGAAACTGGCTACGGTGAGTTACCTTCACTGTTAAAACAGTTACGTTGTGAGCCAGTCGATAAAAATCACTTTAATCTGTCTGTTCTTGCTGCCAGCGATCCAAAGTACATATGAAAAAAAAATGTCCTGAGTTGATGAAAAGTCAAGTAGAAAAGTAAAGTCACTTTGACTGTTGTGCTGCAGTCGAAGCAATTAGCTACGTCAGGAGCAGAGAGGCTTCAGGGACCTTTTGTGCCCCGCGTTTCCCCCGTACACAGGCATCAGAGTGATCTTACTGTTATTTTTAAGCTGCTTGGAGGCTGTTTGCAGTCTGTAAATAACTCGTACTCCGCACATGGAAATAACACCCAAATTATCACTCTCCCCGGTTTGTGTCTATGAAGCAAAGTCTGTGGGGAAGAATATTTTCCAAGCGAAAGTAATTAATAGTTTGTAGCAGAAGAAACAGTATTTGCCCCGCAGTTCAAGTTCAATTTAATTTAGTCTTATGCTAATAGTTGAAAATAAATACATGTGTTTATAAACGAAGAATATTAAATATGCAGCCATATGGGAAATGCCCACTTTCCAAAATGAAATAAAAGTAAAATCATGGAATCGGAAACTTTTTCGATAGGAGTTTTTACTCATCGACTTAATTTGGTTTTCAAACAAATCAAAAACAATTCTCTAAACTACAGTTTTTATCGCATATAAGGAACTTTTTGAAAATGTGTTTTTGATTGAGGGGTATTAAATAAATATAAAATGATGCTAATGCTGATGCCTGCATTTAAAGGATAACGACACGTAGCACTCTCTGTTTTAATGGGTTTTTTTTTTTACATCTGTGTTAATGATACAGCAGCGCGTTAATGCAAATGTTTCCTTTGAAAAGAAAATTAAACCCAGTGACCGTACATCTGAGAACTAACAAGACATTCTTTTGGTAATATCGGCCAATGTGTGCGGGATGTAAATAAAACATAGCATAGCATATTAATGCTAGATGCGCAGTTTTGTATTACATCTTTTTACGAGACAAATACTCTTTATTTCCATCATCAGACCAGAGGGGTCTTTTATTGCCATATACTCTCTTCATTACCATATGAATTGCAGGTTAAATTACCAATTCTACTTATAATTTGAGAGAGAATTACCCCCCAACCTCGTTCTCACCCTGTCATGTCCTCCCTCTCTCTCTGTCTTTATTCCTCTGTGTGTCCCGCTGTCTCTCTGTCATCTTCCAGATTTCAACCTCTTCCACATGATCGCCGTGGGCCTCAGCAGCTCCATCCTGGGCTGTTTGGTGACACTGCTGGTCTACTCGTACTGTCAGCGATACCAGCAGCAGTCCCATGACGCCACCGTCATCCACCCCATCTCGGCGGCTCCGCTCAACACCAGCATCACCAACCACATCAACAAACTGGACAAATACGACTCCGTGGAAGCCATTAAGGTCTGTGTGTGTGTGTGTGTGCGGCTGTGGGTTCATGTCCAGATGTGGTGAAGGCGGGGCAGCGCTCTGTATCCTTCCTCCGCAGTTGCACTCAATCAATTATCGTTACAGCACTTCTCAAAGTCAGAGAGCGGTGTTTTGCCTCTTCCTCTCGTGTCACTTGTGATTAAATACATGTCTTAGTGCATGACTCTGGCTGTCACACAGCGTCCCGTCAGTCTCTGACACGGCCCCTGACAAACAGAGGGGCCGCTGTGCATACATCTTCTCCTCTGCTGGGTGTCCCAGTGTGTGACTTTGTCCTGTGTCACTGGTCAAACACTGCTTTGTCACAACATACTAATGCAATTACGTCAAGCAGAGTGGCTCAGCATCAGCATATTTTCACTGCAGGGGACAACATTCGTCGTGTTTGTGTGGCTCACAAAAAGTGCAAGCTGTTGAAAGCAGCAGAGCAAATGAGAGAGTATCAGCTGCGTCTGTGCACGGTACACACACCTTCTAATTCTCTAATACATTACGGGTTTACCAGGCAGAGATGCTGCTGCTGTCTCCCAGTCCAGCTGGACCTTCTCTTAGTGCCAAATAATAAAATGAGGAATCATCTCTCTTTTATCATACCTTTAAATTTTATTATGACCTCTTGCAATGCAGCAGAACCGGTCTCCCTCTACAGCAGTGGTTCTCAACCTGTGTTGGCTAGTGACCTCATTTTGACATCACAAATTTCAGGCAACCCCAGAGACATTTTTTTATTCAGTCATGTGATTACAGCCTTCAGTCAAGATGTGTCGGCTGAGATATTTTTATCCCCTGCATTATATTTGAGCTTGATTTATATTCATAAAGTGAAAGAATACAGTAGAATATTTATATTTTGATGAAATATTTTATCAATAATTTTTGGTATCACTAGATAGATATTTTTGGTATTACTAAATATGTCAGACAAACACCATTTCATTACCAGGTGACCCCACGTGGGGTTGCGACCCCAGGGTCAAAAATTGTACTTTGAGACATTTTTTAAAAATAAAACCTTAGCAGTGATACACTGTTTTCTTTTTTTTTTTTTTGGCTAGAAAAGAAGACATTTATTCTAAAACAGCAGCTCAGAAGCCTTAGCTGAAGGACATAGTCAATAAGTTATTACTAATATTTAGTAATTAATCATAATTAGCCAACGAGGTAAGAAAACAATGACGTCCCACTTCCAAATTCTTTTTTTTTTTACCCAAACTTTTCTCTCCCTAGTTCAGTTATCTGAAGAACATGTTCATGTTCCCATGTTTATAGCTCCAATCAGCAGTGATGTGAATAAAACACTCTGGAGGAAATGTAAATTATGCCCTTTTTTGTGCTGTGGCATTTTCCTGGGAAAACATTATAAACATAATCAGCAAAATACGAGGAAGAGAAATGCGCTGAGGCCAGCTTCACGTTCTGGTAATGGGTCATTAGAGATCATAGAGGGATTGTTTTTGTGTGATTCTGTGTATGTTTTGGGGGGAAAGCCTGCAAAGTATACCATTAGTGATAGCTAGTCTGGCTCTGATAGTTATCATTAGCGTTTGTTTTCACACAGTTGTACCACACAGGTAGTAGTTAATGAGGCTTTTTTCCTCAAAGCAGGAAGCTGTTCAAAGAAATCAATTTTTTTGGAAACAGTGCTGTGTTTGTACAGTGAGCAAACGGTCAGTCGTTATTTATGAGTTTGATGTGAGTTGAAACAGTCGTCTGAGGCCAGGAGTGAAACTTATTTTAGTATCTCCATATTACTGGAAGTGAAATGGATCCATTTCTAGACCATTACTTCAAAGTCTTCCACAGTTCAATGTCAGGTTAACAGGTCAACACTGGGTCAACTTTGTAAATGACTCTGTTCGATCCTGTTTAGAGTAACATAGACAGTAAATCACAACACTGTACAGTTCGGACATTTTTTAAAGGCTAGTATTAAAATTATAAATAAAAATATTAACATTATTACTTATAATAAAAATATCATATTCAAGAAGAGATTAATGTTCTTCTGCTAAACATGTATTCAAGTGCAGCATAATACCTATAATAAAGGTAATACTACTACTGCAATACTCCTGCCAAACCTGTACTAAAGTGCAAGGAAAGTGCAATACTTAACTACTACTATGTCTACTACTATTACTACTACTACTACTACTACTGCTGCTGCTGCTGCTGTTGCTGCTGCTACTTGATTTATTTTTGTGCTTGATTTTGTTGTTTTTTATTTCTATTTAAGTTCTATTTGTATTGTTTTTTTATTCTACGGTATTTTGTTATTTACCATTGTTTTTTATTATTCCTATTTATAGGTAGGAATGTATATAAACTAGAAGGTAGAGAACTAAACTGGAATCTTTATCCAAATATTACCATGTGTTAAATGTGGTATAATGACAACAGAGGAATCTTTAGCATAGCTTTAGTTTAGAAAGGTTTAGGTTTAAATGAAGGGATTTTCCCAGACTACCTCATGAGTTTGCAGTGCGGGAACCTCATCAATTCTTTAACAAATGTCTCTGTTCTTCATTAATGCAAATGACTTTATAATTATTAATATGCACTTTTCTAAAGTTTTCCTTTTTTGGTGAACTGAATGATATGAGTCTGTCAGTACGGTGTATCACAGCAGGGTTCTAAAGTCTGGGGTCAGTCGTGAAAATGCTCTTTGTTGTGAATTATAACAGGTTACATATTTAAATATCAACATGATATCTACAGTAAGTAGGTAAATGCTTCCGGTCCATTTATGTTGCGACCTGCACTAGTGCAGTTGCATTGATCTCGCATCATAGGAGCAGGCCACAATCTGTGCTTTGTTATACCTGCATAATGTGACAGGCTTCTATTGTAATGGCTCAGCAAGGTTGGTTTAACCTGTTTAAGTGCTGTCATAAGTGCTTTTCAGGGAGAACGTCAGGTAACTGCAGGACAGGCCGTTAGAGTGCAGGGTCCTTGGTTTTCTTAAGGCTTCATGAATTAAACACGACAGTTTGGGGTGGATCTGATAAATTGTCCGGTTCATCTCATTGGTCACTTTGGTGCAGGTGTGTAACTCCAGAGTAGATGAAAACGCCCCTGGACTTGTACATCCACCACCATCGTGTTTCACTGTCAGTTTGACTTACTGCACTATCAATCCGTTTCTTGTTTATCTCCTTAGATACACCCTTCAGCCGCTGCCAGAACACTTGAGCCAGGGTTCATCAGTTAGGAGGATTTTTCCACGTATTCAGTTTGAAATATTTGTGTTTGACAGTAAACTTTAAGCCTGATGCCGTGCTGTAAATTATAATACTTTGCCAACTAATGTCTCCACTTTTTTTTAACGCTGCAAATCAAAGTTTTTGACAACTTCTAAAACAGAAAGATAGAACAGATCAGAGCCTTTTTAAATCTAGTGACTCTCAACACCCAGAAAAACAAAGAAATTGACTGACATTTTCATTTAGTTCAACTCTCTTACTCTTATATATAAGGATGGATGTTGACATCCTTATAATACAGATAATAATAAAACTCCAAATTTGTTAACATTTTTTGGGGGGGGATTTTATTTTACATATGCAAAAATTCAAGCCCTCACTGTACATCACACAGTGTGAGTGAAAACTGCGTCACAGAGTAAGAAACTGCCTGGGAGTGAGAGCAGATCCTTTTGCTCTGAGCAAACATCTCCAAATGTGATTTAATTGCAGAATGAAGGTGCGAGGAGCATTCATCTGTCATGCAATTAGAGTCAGAAGCACGGAGCCTAATTCAGTTACTTTAGCTGCAGATAGAGCAGAGGATATGAATGTAGACGCTAAAAACACAAAAGGAGCTTCGTGACAGATGGACACGGCGTTCAGCCTCCAGACTGGGTGAACCCTAAAAGGTTCAGATGTTACGCCAAATGAGGTCTGCAGAACCATTATGTGCCTCTTTTGAGTGCTTATGGTAAAGAATAATGAACATGTGATGAACTATTATATAACATTTGGAAGAAGTAGTCAGATTGTTAATGCTTTTAGTGATAGTGTAATTTAGCACGTTGCCTGAACTGAAGAAACTTCAGTAGCTCGGTTCATCCATACAAAAAAAATTATAAATGTGAATTCAACTATGTGACATTGTGAATAATGACTTTGTGATATGATTCAACACAGCTTGCTTTGTGCTGCTGGTTGTGAAACCTGGATAGTGGTGTACAATAGCAGACAATGAGCTTCAGTTGTGCCTAAAATAGCATTACAAGTGCAAGGCAACATGCTAAAATCTAATCTTATTCTCCTGTAAGTGACCACACACCTGTAGAGTTTTGAGGTTTGCTGTTATAAGACAGATCCTTGGCTGTGAGTGTGTATTTCTGGTTGACTCTTGCCCGTTCCTCTTCCCCTTGCAGCCGGATGTGTCGGTTCTCTTGCCCTTGGATGACCCTGCCATGCACCAGCCTCTCTCTGCTAACATGGGGGTGTCCATGCGTGGCCTGGAGATTTTCTACTAACCTCTGACCTCTTCAACATCCCTCTTCTTCACCCCCCTACCCCAACAACTCTTTGACCCCAACCACAACTACTACTATATTACTACTACTACTCCTACTACATCCTCTACCCCTCGTCCTTCCTCTTCCTGTGGCACTTCCTGTTTGTGGCAGGTTGGCGTACAGTACTCTTGTTTGTCATTCCTTACTCCATCCCTCAACCCCTCCTACTATTTCTACTACTATTACTACTACTACTACTACATCCTCTACCCCTCGTCCTTCCTCTTCCTGTGGCACTTCCTGTTTGTGGCAGGTTGGCGTACAGTACTCTTGTTTGTCATTCCTTACTCCATCCCTCAACCCCTCCACACTTTAACCTTTCTTCAAGCTTGTGAGACGGCAGTGTCCCCCTCACTTATAATCCTGCTTTTCCATGATTCTTTTCTGTGTTTGTCTTTGTTTTTGCGTTGTCAAATACCCTTCATTTATTAGCTATTAGGCCATAAATTTGAGTTCTCTGTTATGGTACTCTTTATGCTCCTCTGTTATCACTAATGTCCCTTCAGAGATTAAGCACGTTTTGTTTACAGCTTCAGAAAATCAGGGGTAATCATTCTTCAGTCTGTTAAAGACGAGGAGACTAAGCCGATGAGTATCGGAGAGCAGCTGCCGTAGGGCCACCTGCTGAGACACAGAACCATCACTGAGGCTGCGGGAACGTTGATTACATTTTCCTTTGTGTGCAAATCGCATAATGGGAACCGAGTGAATATGGAGTTTTTCTGTCCGGCCAGCTAGTTCCCTATGAGTGTCAGTCAGAAACATCCATCAACCACAAATGCAGCATCATCAAGTGTTCAATTACTTTGCCTCCAGGGACTCCCAGCACACCACTCTGCCCCTCCCTCTCCCTCTGCCTCTCCTTCCATCTCTCTTTAACAGACTGAACACATCCATTTGCCAAATTGCTGATGCTGTATTGAGCATCACAACAGGAGCTTCTGCCATGTTTACCATGTCACGCAGTCACGGAGGAGAAGCCACTGTGGCACTTCCCTATTGTTTAACAGAAAACTGATTCTTCGTCTGATTGATTTTTTTTTTTTTTTTTTGTTTGGCTGAGCTTCTCCTCCAACACCACAAATTTCAGGGCCGAAAAATTTCCGGATGCCGGCTGTTAGAGATGACAGAGGTGGACATACTGACTTGCATCAAAATAATTTTACCCTGTGGTTGTTTATCATTTCATTTTACCAACTTTTTTTTATAATTTGACCTTGTGCTGAAAAACAATAATTTCATTCACTGAATGGGCTGCCCCTTGATTTGTGTTGCTTTTTTTATATTGTGGGGGGTCAGATGGATTTGCTTTAACCTCGCCATCTGGGCTGAATAATCATTTCATCAGTGCAGGAAAGAAACAGATGCTGATTCTGACGTATCTCTCTCCCTCTCTCTCTCTTTCTCCCTCTTTTTCCGTCCACAGGCCCTCAACAAAAACAATCTGCTTCTGGAGGAAAAGAATAAATACTTCAATCCCCAGCTTGCCGGGAAGACCTACACCAACACATACTTCCACGACCTCAACACCTACGATGACTATTAACCCACAATTCAACAGTTCATACTCCACATTGGGGATCCTGACTGCATCATCCAATTTTGTCTCTTTTCTTTTTCTTTGTGCTTTGTATTGAGATTCCTGTCACCATGCGTGGGTCCGTGCCACTCTGAGACTCAATGGCAGCTGCTATGTAATGAAAACACAGACACATGTTGTTGCCAACAGAGAGAAACCGTCTTTCTCTCAGGTGCCTTTGGGGTACTCTTGGAAAGCTTACATTTTGGGAGACAGTTCTCGCTTTGCCTCTTGCTAGAAATAACAGAAAACTGGATTTTTTTCCAACTTGGACATAAAGGGAAAATTACAAACTCTCTTCACAGAGACAGTAGGAATTAAATCCCTTTCAACTTTCCTGTGACGCCTCTACAACGGACCTGTATTTGTAATGAGGGACATAACCACAAAACCGCTTTGCATGATATCATCTGACGTGTTCTCTCTGCTATTCTCATTTGTTTTTTGCATGACTGAGCGCATTCCAAGGTTTTGGGACTCTCTGCAGGTCTATGGTTCAGGACTGGGTTTGAAAATCATGGAAAAGAAGAGCGCAGTAATGTCTGGTGGTTTGAAGCATTTTTGCTGTGAAAACTTCCAGACAGATCGATGTCCATCCTGGTCCTTGAATCATGATGTAGATAATTCAAGTCTATGGTCAATTTTTTTTTCATTTGCTTTGTTTCAGACTCTTGCTGGGTCTCGGGTACATGTGTTTTTGTACAGGAAGTTCAGTTCAAAACGTAAAAGTCTGTAGTTTTTCTAAAAGCATCTATTAAATGTCTCCAGTGTTTCAAGAGTTTAACGTTTTCTTTTGCAAAGAAAGAAGTTTATGTGAATTACGCAGGAAGCGTTTGGAGGTCGTTCATGACAGCCTGCATTGAGTCAAGTCTTTGTCGCCGTACTTTTTATATTTTTTGTAAAAAAAATGTTTTTGAATTTTGATAGTGTCAGCTTTTTTTTTTGGCTTCTGAGTTAAATGTGTATTTGTGAGAGCAACATTTAATGTACAGGTTGAGTATAGAAAACACTATTTTCCTGAATCCCATATACTAAAAAAAAATAAAGACCATTCATGAACTTGAGATATTTCTGTTTGGGTTATATAACAAAATATTAGGTTATTAAACGGTTCAGTTGTAACTAACTCTTTTTACATGTCTGCCTGTGTTACTGTGCATAAATTAAAAACTGCTTCATACACAAAAAAACATTGATCTCGTTCTCGTATCTCGTTATTTTAGCGTGTCATACACAAAAAAACATTGATCTCGTTCATGTTATTTTAGCGTGTTTTTTTTTTCCTAGGTTTATTTGTATAAACTTACACAGAGGTCATCTAGAATAAAGCAGCAACAAAATGTACTTTTGGCTGCCAACTTTGGAGACTGATATTTTTCAAACACAAACTGTAAAACTACAGGTGTGTGTGCACTGACCAAACCTCCATTAATCACTCAGGTTTAGAGTAGAAGACTCTCTCCAACCATTTTAAAGGAGTCTTCAGCAGGGCCCTGCAGTGACAAATGGCATCAGCAGCAATGGAAGGATACCTGAAGGGTACAAATCACATGAGGCAGCAGGGTAAAGGTGCTAAGGGTGCTGTCTGATGTCCAAACTCTAATCTGTATGACGGGGGAGCACCACACACCGCGCTGTTCTCCATCAACCTTCAACCTGATGTGCCATCTGTGTGCAGAGGGCAGCGACGGGGCTGCTATTAATCACCCTGCTATGTGGTCAGTTAGGGTTGGAGGTGGTTGGTGCGGATGGGGAGGGTTGCTGAACCAGCTCGATGTACAGTCCAGAAAAATCAATCTCTCTTTAACTCAACTTTATTCTCATACCCCAACCTCCTACCCCGCAAAAAAAGTAGTGTTGCAGGAGATGTTTGTGTTGAGGTTAGAAAAATGATGCAAGCAAAACAAATGTGTGTCTGTTTCAATGTGGGCAAATGCTTTCTCGGATTTCACCTGTGCTGTGTGAACAAGCCATTTGTTAAACACTTGACCCCAGCAAATGTTGATTGATGAACCATTACTGGATGCATACATAATGCTCATTCTGCATTTCCCGTCTGACACACCTACGATCAGCAGAGTAGCTCCCATTCAGCACTTCATGTTTCCATGAATTTGCAGCCTGTCCTTCCACAGATACATGTGATATTCCTCTTTGACAGCGGGACTGAGGACAATAAATGACTGACCAAAAAAATGGCATTTAGGGACCGATAAAGGTCACAGCTAAAGGTCACAGGAGCAGAGTTTGCAGAATCTGGCTCTGTAAATGTGTGTTTTTTACTGTGTGACGATGACAAAGTATCATGAGACCTGACCTGCCGGTTGAGATGGATGACGGTCTGATTCTTATTGGAAGAGCGATCGAAGAGCTGCTCCAATCATCGCTTCATGCAGAAATATTTCAACCTTTATTGCATTTGAATTTTATTGTGACACCCACGACCTCATCGGATGAAATCCACTCATTTTTTGACCCCTGCCCTTTGGTATTCTGCCATATAGTGTATGATTCTCAGCCCAATATCTCAGACTCAGTACATTTATAAACCCTAGTTTGGGAAAGTTCATTGAAAAGTTCATTGGGACTGAAAGACTTCCTAATTAGACACATGAAAAAAAATGAAACATTTGTTGTAACATTATTCAATTATAGTTTTGCTAACCACAGCCTTCAGTCTTCCTGGGTCCACACCTGTCACCAATCAAAGATACTCTGATTGACCTCAATTGCCCTGACATTTTCTTGTTTTCTGCCAGAGCAAAACCATAGTTGGTGAAGGGTTTACAAAGCATTAAGTCGAAGGGATCCTGATGATGAAGAAATCACTCAAGAGAAAGTTATAAAAATATAGAAGCACTGGATTTTGGATGAAACGCATTGAAGAAAGTCAACAAAATTAGGAGGACATTTGGTACTGCAGTGACATGGTCAAAAAGTGGATTTTCTTTCAAAGATGAAGAAAAAGAAAGACCAAATTTCATGAAGGAGGCCATAGCACACCTACATCAGTCTACCAGGAATATCTGGTAAGTTCTGCTTG